GAACCAAGCTATGCCCCAGGATTTTTTCCCCTTTTTTTGTTTTTTTTTTTTTGTTGTTTGCACAATGATAAAAGCTTTTGAAAGCGGAGAAGAGAAGAGACATCTGTCAAGGGCTTGTTGAAACAAGATTCCCTCTGATTAAAAAGAGGGTATCAGGTAAACAATCGCTGCAATAAAGCATCTGAAAAATTAGTTTGGTGTGACTAATCAGATGCAGAGAAATCTTAAAATGTCTGAAAAATACGATAAATGGTTTGAGACCACCGCCTGTTCTCATTTTTTGCTTTGTTTTTTTTTTCTCTTTGATTAAAGCAGCTGTAAGCCAAAATGTCTGACGAAGCAGTGGAGGAAGTTTTAGAAGAAGTTGTAGAGGAAGAAGTTGAAGAAGTTGTAGTGGAGGAGGTGGTGTGAGTAAAAACATATTCCTATAACAATAAAAGAAACCTCATACTTTCTCTGATCGTTTCAAAGCTTTTCCTAATTTCTTTTCAGGGAGGAAGGCAAGTAACGACTTCTGGAGTATTTTGATGCTTTTTTTTAAAAAGGAAAAAAAAAGGAACTCGTCACTTGGAGCTTCCATTCTTAGACGCGGCTGCCCTATTATGTCAGCTCGCATAGCAGCAGGAAGGGGAAGGCTCGTGCATGGCTTCACGTGTGCAGTCTCTTTGTTGCATGTCTGCTGTCAGTGAGGAACATGAAGAAGGCAGGGTGTTTCATCTGGAATGCTAAAACTTCACCTGTCAACCCCTTTGAAATCATTTCAGCCCTTTATTGCTACACTAACAGCAAATGTTGTGATAGTTTTTTTAAGCAATTAACTAGATGCATAAAAATCCTTAAGATGCACACATTTTTTATTGCATTACCAAAAACTAGATTATTTCTGCAGGTTAACGAAATTATTAAAATCTTTGTTCCAGACCAACTGATGACCAATTTCTAGTTTCTTGCAGAATTCATGAAATTTGCACTTTAAAGCTGATCTCACAATTTCTCTGGACCTTAACATGAGTTTTTTGGCATCACAATCCTAAGTAGGGGTGAAACAATCGGATTAATTGTGATTAATCGATTATCAAAAATAATCGTCAATAATTTAGTAATCGATTAATCGTGAGCTGGAGTAAAGAGAATATAAAATGTCCCTGTAGCTGACAGAGTGACCCACTTAAGCAGTAATTATACCAAGATTGTAAAAAAAAATTAATATTTTGCATTTAAATAAAAAAAAAAAGTGTCAAAAAAATGCTCCATCAAGAACTCCTTAAGTGGAAAAGTTTGAGTTTCCCTTGATTTGATTTCATAAAAAGTAATTTTGAAAGAATCTTTGCCTCTCTGATTGTTAAATGATTACCGTAATTTTTGACTAGTAGCCACACCTAATATAAGCCGCTGAAGCTAAATTGCATGATTTGTACATATACAAGCCGCACCGGACTATAAGCCAGGTTTTTTATGTTGAATGTCCTTCTTTCTCGCTGTCATTCTGTCTCGTACCACTCGCGGTAGAAGTCTGCTTCCGGAGGACCTCCGCATTCCCCTGCACGTGGCTACTGTACTTGTGTGTTGAAGCAAATGTGACGTCAACATTGTGGATGTTAAAATCCATAGATTTAGGTATTGCCCTACTGGCGTTAGCTGTAAAAGTCCATAGATAAGCCGCAAGGTCGAAAAATGGGGGGAAAAATCGCAGCTTATAGTCCTTTAATCAAAAATGTATCTACAGGTTATTCGAAATAATCATTAGTTGCAGCCCTAATCCTAATCCTTCAACTGATTTTGGGGGGGAGGAAAATAAGAACTTTCTGACACATCTTTGCCAATTAAATCTGCCTGTTCTTTTGAGTCAGTCTCACTCTGGTAGGCTTCAGATATCCACCATGTTAAAGACAGCTCCTTTTTTTTTAGTTTACCTTTTCTAACAATAAATGTTCAAAGCTTCTTTCTTTATGCATCCCAAGAGATGTTTGGTATAAAAGTGTGCAGAGTGACCAAATTCCTGCTACGAGCCGTTTGCCTAGTCCCATTGATCCACTAATCCATATTTGGTTCGCCCGGTCATAGAGGCTGAAAGTGAAAAAAGGCTTCTTTTTTTGTCTGTGAACAAAGCTTTTTCACTCTGTTCTATACTTACCCCCTTGGGTCATATAATCTGAGCAAAGTGTGCATGTCTTGCAGCGAGTATTTTCTCATATCTAATAACAGAGCTTGAATTGTTTTTCTTGTTGTTGTTTGTTTTCTTCCATTTATCAGAAGAAGCTCCACCTGGAGTAGAAGGTAATTCTCTTTTTAAATAATTTATATGCTGTTAGCAGTTGTTTTTACTGAAAACAATCACTTAAAAGCAGTCTCCACCTGCAGATTACTGTAAATGATATCTTTTCATGGCGGCTCATTCATTTCAGTCCCATTAGCCATCTCATGTCCAGTCATCAGTAATCACTGCTCAATTTGGCTGCTGAGTTAGGATGAGATGAATTTACTCTAAATGAGACTTTTATTTGTAAGTGTAGCTGAATCCACTCAAGGTACATTTGAATGGGTTCATTTATTTTCACATCTCGCATCCTACGCTCTATGTCTGACCAGTTTCAGAGATCCTGTTATATAAAATGTCAACCTTAATGAAATATATTTTTGTGCTTCTCTTTTTTTCCTCAGAGCCTCCTGTTTCGGCAGCTGAAGGTAAAATGTTTATATATTTACTTGATTTTTACTGTCAGCTACACAGAGAGCCAGCCTAAGGCAGGGGGGAAAATAAAGCAGTTTTTAGAGTCCCCCAACCAAGATCACTTTGATTTTCAGTTTAGATACTAGTTTATTGAACAATGAGCCAAATTCTAACACGACTTGAGATTTTCTGGATTGTACGTTAAAAGAATGATTTAGATCTATAGATGTACCAGTTTTAATTTCCTAACAAAAAATATGTTTATGATTAAGTGGCTAATATTTAATTTCCAACTATTTACAGACAACCTAGAGCAGGGTCTGCAACCTGTGGCTCCTGAGCTGCAAGAAGTTCTCTGGTCCCTCCACCATGGCTATTAATCCTGGCTAAAAAAATTATAAATAAGTCAGCTAATGATTTATAACATAGAGTAAATACCAGTATTAGAAGCTTTAGTAGATTTTGAAGGAAAAATTGAAGCTTATTATCACAATAGAATGACAAAAATGGCTAAAAGTATGTTTTTATGTCTATTTGTCATGCCAATTAGCTTGGAAATTGTATTTTTGTTTTTTATTACTTTTATTTTGTTTTACTTTTTAACACATCAAATAATATCTTATAGAAGAAAAATTCATGGTTCCTTTTGAAGAAGAATCCCCCTTGTTTATAACACCTAAAACTAAAAAAAAAGTATCTTACAGCAGATATTAAAAAAAAAAAAAAAAGTTGTATTTTTATTTAACGGTCATGTAATAATGCGGCTCTAAACAAGTTAATTTAGCTGGACAATAAGCAAAATGGCTTTTTTGATTTACAAGGTTGTAGACCTCTGACCTAAAGGAATCCATCCATCCATCCATCCATCAAAGGTTGATCCCCGAAATCCTACAGAGAAAACTTCCTGCAGGCTTGTGGATCTTGATCTTTTACAGCAGATGTTCCAAATCTAAAGGCACATTTTAGCACCAAGTCTGGCTAATCAAGAGGTTATAAATTTTTAATTCAAGCCCTTTATTTTCTCAACAAACTGCAAGATCTCCTGCACACAAGGCCCCAATACATCCACCTTTTTCACTCCATCAGATTTGAAAGTAAACATCCAAGATCTTTGAACTCTTGTCTCAGACACTGACCCATCAGTCAGGAAAAAATTCTGCTCATTTTCCCAGATGAAAATTCTGATCTCTTTCCTGGTCTTTAAGTTTTTTTTGCAGTCCAAGAAGACAAAAACAGTGGACTGAATAACCAAAGTCCGCTGGGTAACAATCCAAACCACGTTCCACACCAGGACTTCTGAATCTGAGGTTTTCAAACAGCCCATCCCATTAACATTTCCAGGAAGGTTGATGAGTGACAATAAATCCCACACGTAGTGAAGTTCCCACTATGTTAAAAACATTTTCACCCAGATGTTTATCTATTATTTACCAGTCACAGGGACATGTAAGCTAGCTGAACAATTCCTCAACTAGCTAGCTAGTTCCTAACTAATTACAAACTAGCTAGCTGATCATGCTCCAGCTAGCTACTACTGTAGTTCCTATCTAAACTAGAAAAGTGGCTAGCTGAATAATGCTCAACTATGTAACGGAAAAAATATTCTAACATAGTTTAACTTTGGAAAAAGATTGGCTTCTGATTCTTCCCATTCCCCGAAATAGTCCACGTCGGCGAGCTGCGATGTAATAAAACCAACATTGCGTGTTGACGTCACAGAATTACAGAGTTAATCCAAGATAAAAAAAAAACAATGCAACACTTTAGAATAAGACAATGCACAAACCTACACCAGAAACTGCAGAACACAGAGACATACATTCCATTACCTGACATAGGAGGAAAGAAAGCAAAGAGTACAAGACATCCTTTGGAGAGTTGCAAGGGCAAATCCTGATCTTTTTTCTTCTAATTTTAGAAAGCTTTATCCCTTATCTAATCCATTCAAAAAGGGCTGGCCCACGGTCCTCCAACCAAACGCCAATCTCTGACACTGCTAGGGCTTCCCCTTATTTACTTTGAAACATCTGGTGGTCATTTGCTTCTTTGTTTTAACCAGAAAAGGCGGAAAGCTTAGTCCTTGCATCTAGAATTCCTAAAGTCATAAACACAAGATAAGCTCTCACCGACAGCCTTGTATGGAATGCGGGGGGGCCCTCCTGTGCTTTGGAATACTTACCCCTAGTAGTTTAAAATCATAAACACAGCCTTGTTTCAAAATTAAAAATATGTCAAGTGAGAGTGTTATTATAATTTTTACACATGCCATAAAGATTAACTGTAATAAATCAAAAAAATAATCATTTTTCATTAACATCCCCCGTTTTGGAGGTCTGAGACATACAGACCTCACAAATAAAATGATTAAGCCTTCTAATAGAGGAACCAAAAAATTATTTAGTATACTAAAAAACTAAAACATTAGCCCAATTTTATAACAGTCCCCTTTTTTAAACAGCACCTCCTAGGTCCCCTGCCAGGTCGTGTGTCTAAAGCTGAACTCCATAATCTAAACTTATCAAATGTATCTTGCGCTGTCCAACAATTTAATACTCACCTGATGAACCACAAAATTTTAACCAGTAAAAACTAAACTAAAAATACATTTCACTTATCAAATATGAAAAATCATAAAACTCAGTTATCTGAAAGAGAAGCAAACACACAATAGGAATATCAGCCCAGAATATGAAATAAAAAATAAAAGTAAGATATCTCAAAATTACTAAAAAATGCTCAGCAGACTTAAAAGACAATATTCACCACAAAAACTACAATTTGTCAATAAAAAACAATAACAACATCAAGAAATACATCCTAAACACATAAAAATTACAAAATAGCGTAAACACATAAAAATTACAAAATAGTTTTTTTTTTTTTTTTTTTTTTTTTTCACAATTCAATAATAAGAAGTTAGAGTTCGTCTCTATGCTCCTTCGATAGTCTTTCAAAAATGAATATGAATTCTTCGTCAGGAAACGATCCAAAAATACGCGCAAAAAGAAACGAATGTTCTTGAAGAGTTCGCAAAAACGAAAACACGCAATAAAAAGAAGATAAGTTAATGATGATCTTGTAGCTGGATCCTTCACGTGTTCCTCCTCGGTTGTAAACCTCAGGTTTTCCACCTGAGTGTCCGTTGCTCACTGAAAATTGGAGTATTATGCCAATTTAACAGTGAGTTTAAGGAGAGGGTGCAATCTCCTTTTCTCAATGGAAGGACACCGGAACAGGATTATTGTGCCTGTCTGGGCCTTTTAAGCCTTGTAATTCAGGAAAATGAAGTGGTTTTGGCAGACTTCTGCCCGGAAATGCAGATCCTCCTCCGCGCTGTGATGGCCCTCAGACACTCCTCGACCGCAGGTTGAGACTGTAGATTCTCCTGTATGCCCTGCAGCGTGCGTTGTGGCTCCTCAGCTGACTCCAATGGAACCACGTGTCTCCTTCTCTCTTGTAGACGGACAGGCTGAGATGTACTCTCCACGACTCGGTATGGTCTGGCGAAGCGAGGTTCAGACCACTTTCTTTTGATGACCATCAGGCGCACCCAGTCGATTCCCCGAACTGATCCCGAGCCTGGACGTTCCTGTGATGTCTGGTATTTTGTAAATTCTGCTGCCAGGACCTGTAACTCATTGAAGAAATCTTTATGAGATAAATGTGCAAGTTCACCTTTCCATCCTGGAATGCGGGTAGCAGGTCCTGGAAACATCCGTCCTGTCTGGAGCTCATATGGAGAGAACCCTGTTGATTGGTTAATGATTGATCCTACACTTTATGACAGCTTCACTGTCTTCCTTTTGTATTATAAATCTGCTACTTTGGAGTTGTATTTTATCAATCCTTTGACCCTCTTTTTATATAAGGCCTACATGAGAAATGAAAGTTTCCTATCATGTTAAACCCAAAACTTAACTGTATTTTAGAAGCAGTTCCATAACTGTTAATTTGTAAATTTCCAATTTAGACCAATTTAATTTCAATTATCATATTTTCTATTTTTTAAAGCCTTAAAGAATGATCAGCCTGCTTTACATGAGTCACTAAATATCAAAAATGACCTACTTTATTCCAATCTTATTTTAAATCCCAAAAATTTCAACCATTTTTACCTTTGATCCATTTATTCATTTGAAAACCTATTTATAAAATATTTAATTGAATAATGTATTACCCTTTTTATATTGTTTATCAATTATCAATGCCTTTTCAGTTTTGGAGAGAGATTCAATACAGCTAAATTTATTAAATGATGTAAATCTTTAGTTTAGACCTTCCTGGATGTCTTAGTTAAACAACTTATTTTAAAACATATGAATAGAGATACAACAATCCAATGATCACCTTCCTTAGTTTAAGAACACTATTTTATGTAAATTATTTGATAGTCAATATTTTGTTTAGTATATTCAATTTATACATTTTACTTATTTCATATCCAAATAGTTAGCTCATCTTTAATGCTGGTAATACACCGTAAAACATTTAATGTATTTTGATTTAACTTCAATAACCGCTTTTTCCGAAAAGTAAATGCAGAGATCCAAACTAAAAATTTGCCTATCAGATCAATTCCATTCATGTCCCCCTGTTTCTATAACAGAACAAATGTTATGAAATCCGCTATCACCACTAACTTTAGCCTCATGTAACACAGGTGGATGCAATTCAAACACGGTGTCCCAGATGCTGTTACAATCTGCACACCTCAAGCAAAGAATTTAATGTTTGATTAAATTTATGAAATCAACACAGAACTTGGTGTCATTTGCTCAGTAAGTCAGTCTATAGACACCCAATCCACTTTAACACCTTAATTTCAAATTCCATTTAAATTTAGATTTAGTTTCACTGAATGATAGCCACTGTACTATGTAAATAAAATTTAGATCATCTTCCTTAGTAGATGAAGCGTAACACACAATGCAATTCAGCTATAGTTAAAAAAGAATGTAATTGCAATCGTTAGTCCCTGCCCATTCTTTTCAGGCAGGAAAGGAAAAAAAACACA